CCCAAACATTCATGCATGCATCCATTCATAAATTCACTCTTAACTCATTCTTTCAACCATTAATTTATTAATCAATCAATCCATTCGTTAATCAATCCTTAATTTTTTTGGCTACCATCTACCCATACAACCATCAATCAATTAATCAATCAATTAATCAATCAATTAATCAATCAATCAATCAATCAATCAATCAATCAATCAATAAATCAATAAATCAATCAATCAACCAATCAATCCATCAATCAATCAATCAGTCAATCAATCAGTCAATCAATCAATCCATTAATCAATCAATCAATTAATCAATCATCTATCAATCAACCTCTATCACTCAATATCGTCTACTAATGATGATGATGGTAATAGAGTCCGACCAACATCTAACATCAAACAAAGCCCAGCAAATGGCTGATATGCATTGTATGTTGCCATTGCTAAAATTAACAACATCAACATTTTCAGCCACACCGGAAACAAGTATCATTACTAACAACAACTGCAACAACAACATCAACATTTTCAGCCACACCGGAAACAAGTATCATTACTAACAACAACTGCAACAACAACATCAACATTTTCAGCCACACCGAAACAGGTATCATTACTAACAACAAAAGCAATCCCAACAACAACAATGGTGACAACAACAACAGAAGAGACAACAACACAGTTACAATCACACCATACAGTCGTGTTGCTATGTATTAAATTATATCATTTATATATGAATAAGTTTTTAGATGATCTAGACATTTTTATAATACCCATACATAAACATCACACACACACATCCACACACAAACACACACACACACACACTCACACACACACACAAACACACACACACACATGCAAACAAACAAACAAACCCACATACATACATATACATACACACATACATGCACACATACAAACAAACATACATGTGATGTGATCAAGAAGCCATTAGAACAGTCTTTCATCTACGAAGTATTTCCAAGGATGATGATGAAGATGTCAGTGGTGGAGATGGAAATGATGATTAATTATTGTTGTCGCATATTCTCTGCAATTGAAATTTTATTATTATAGTATTTTTTTGATTTTTGTTATTATTATTTTTATTACTATTATTGCTATTGTTATTATTAATCATGGTTATCGTTATTGTTAACGGTTAATTATTTTATTTTTTTTTTGTATGAAATTTCAATTTTAATATTTTCCCACAAATATATATAAGTGTGTGTGTGTGTGTGCGTGTGTGTGTGTGTGTGTGTGCGTGTGTGTGTGTGCGTGTGTGTGTGTGCACCGTGTAATTGCTCGTTTATATTTTGATGTTTTCACATCGGCTCGACGACACTAACTAGCATTAGCTACAGGAACGTGATTAACCAAACACAAAAACAGTATTAGCATGTGTGACTCGGTGACATTAATAACCACAACCACACAACAACAACACTAACAACAACAACAACCAATAAATAATTAACGACAACAACATCAAAACATTAGCAACACTAACGTTTACAATAATAATTAATGATAGAACTACTGACCTTATTACAAAAACGCTAGAAACAATTCTAACGACTTGATCATCAACAAGGTTAACCACAAATTGTTAAATCAATAGAACATCTTGTTAACATCAACTGCAACTATCTCAACATTAATCACAGCAACAACAACAACGTGTTTTTATTTAAGCGATGTCCATTTATAAGGTTAAGTGAAAGTTGCCTTTTACAGTTTTAAATTCACTTTTAAATTTTTACTTTCATTTTCTCTCTGATGAGGTTAGCATTAAATGGGGTTTTTAAATTGAATTTAGTTTCATTTTGCTGTGTGTTATTTTTTATTCAAATTAGCTTGAAATGTCTTGTTGAAATCTTCAAAAAGTGCATAATTAGTAAGGTTATCTTTGGCGATCACACATATATACCTGTGCGTATACATAGTTTGGTTCATCGTTTGAGCGCGCTTTGTGTGTGTGTGTGTGTATGTGTGTGTGTATGCGCGGGTAATTATATGTGCGTGTTTGTATGATGTGTTTTTTGTATGTGTGTGTTTTTATAGTGGTTCGTTTTGTTTTCTTGTGCACGCATGTTTGTATTCCTATATGCAGTCCTTGTGGAGGAAGTCATATAGCATATGGGGAGGAGGATAATTTGAAATGGTTTTTACTTTTATTTCTATGTTTCTTGTTTAAATGAAGCGTTCGGGATGGAGAGTTAAAAATAGTTTTTGATCTTATTATCGGCCAGTGATTCATTCATTTCTACTTATTTTTGTGTGTCCCTTTATTTTTGGTATTTGTTTCGTTGTAGGTTATCAGAGCTGAACAAAGCTATTGAACTTGTGATTGAGTTTGTTTGGTTGCTTGGCACCCGTCACAATGGAACAATGGCGGGTCTTTCTTTCGTTGGACTGTTGCTTGCTTGCTTGCCTAGTTAGTTTGCTGGAGGGTTCGATTTTTCAAGTTCTCATTTTCGTTTCTTTTTTCAACGTCAGAGTCTATAACACTAAGCAATTGCATAACGTTTATGGAGTGCTAGATATCTTTATTTATACATTGCTTTATTTCTATAGCCTAATATAATTGAAACATCTATAATAATTTTTTCTTGGTGCTGTCCGTTTGGTCAGTCAGATGGCCTCATGTGGTTGGTTGGAATGACGTGTGTTGATTGATTGATTGACTGACTGATTGAATAATTGTTGAGCATGCTTCATTTGGCGTTGAATTGATTAATCAATTAATTGATTGATTAATTGATTGATTGTTGGATTGATTGATTGATTGATTGATTGATTGATTGATCGATCGATCGATCGATTGGTTGATTGATTGATTGATCGATTGATTGATTGATCGATTGATTGTGGACGATACCTATATAAAAATGAAAGTTACGGTGATTAAAAATTGTTATATACATTTGTTAGCATTAGCAAAGGAACATAGATTTCTGATTTATTTTCAAACACGTATACAGTACCTTGCTGTACTGCGTGTGTACGTACGTACAGCTTTTTCCAGTTTATTGTTTTACCCTACCTACCAAAATGTTTATATTTCTGTTGATATTATCACATTGGTTCAGTCGTCACCATTTTAAACATTACTTTCATCATTAATGCTTTCGAAGCTTGCTTTCATTGCGTAATTAATTGTCCTGATATGAGCATCATTCAAATAAGCTATCGTCTGCACGGCCATCGTAATTATTAGTTAATTCTTCCATTGAAATTGTTGTAATCATTTGATGTTTTTAAACATTACCACGGTTATTTATTCAATTATTTATTCAATTATTTATTCAATTATTTATTCAATTATTTATTCAATTATTTATTCAATTATTTGTTTAATTATTTATAGTTTTTTATTGATTTGTTTCCCACTTCAATGTCTATTATTCTGAGAAAATTTTGTTGTTCAGTTCAACGTGGACTCGCCCATCGTCATGTATGTCTTGCAAATCATTTTTAATGTCTTACTACATTCGTTTGGTTATTTTTTTAAATTGTGAGAAATTTTATATTCTAGCTAACTTAATCACTACTCCTTTCTAATTCGTAATTGAATACGTTGTAGAGTACGCGTGCTTGCTTGCTTGCTTCAGGCTTGCTTTCTAATGACACTGTCATTTTGCTTATACAAGTTTGTTGCTGGCTTATTACAGAAAAAGATTCATATGCCGTTAAAGTGATATCATTATCACTACTATCGACGATCATTCGTTCACTTATTCATTCATTCATTCACTGATTTATTAATTTTTTCAACAGATTGGTCGTGCTAATGACTATTTTTTCAAGATGTCCAAACTGCGACCCTGCTCAACTAATAAGCACCTCAATCCATTTTTAACCTGCAATGGAGCCACATCTTCCGACCGTTACTGGGATCCATCCTTGGGTACGCACAACTACAATTCGCTGGTTTCATCCTTCACGAAATGTCCAATCTATGACCTGACCTGACCTTTTCAATTTATTGATTCAATATTATTTCATTGATTTATAAACGTGTCTCTTGTCCTCTGCTTAAATAGATTAAAATCTATTTAATACAGTTTACCAAATATCTATCTGTTTATTCTTTCAACATTTGGCTCCTTTAACAGCTAACTCACTTAGAGAGTTATCTATTTGTCTTTTTTGCCAGCTTTGGTTAACGATATATCAAGAGGACAGAGCAGAGTCGTTTGATTTCTGAGTGGTGATTATTTTTCCCATTTTCCAAACATGTGTGATTTTGGGCTTCCGATACACTGATGCTACATAATTCAGAAGATTTCTTGTTGTATGTGCTCGTCGCTTCATGCGTCTTCACTTCATGGGATCAGTCAGTCATTCTCAGTGAATAGATATCTAATGATTTGAAAATTCTGTCTTTGCCTGCCTGTTCAATTATCTGCATTCACACCACACGCATTTTAGTCTTTTTCTTCCTTACCAAATATCTTATTGAAAAGAATTTTATTACAACCCATATCACATCACGTCACCATCTCATCACGTTAGAGTGCACGGCTTCATCTTCACATCATTTAGAAGGATCGCTCACGTTACGACATCATCACTCATCATCCAGATCACTGACAAGATGACATCATCACGTAATTCAGATCACTCACAAGAGGACTTCACCACAAAAAAAAACTCACATTATGACATCATCTCACATCATTGAAGTCGCTAACAAGATGACGTCATTACAACTTAATTTATTTTTTCGACGAACTCGTTAGATTGGTTTCGCTTTAATACTTTATAATCATCAGCAATGCAAATATTATGCCTTGATGTACATTGCACATATGCATGCAGGCTTGCTTTAACTATCTAGGATATTCTACTCTATTTATTCGTTTAATAAGCGCATATTTTCAGTCATATATATATATATATATATATATATATATATATATATATATATATATATATATATATATATATATATATATAAAAATCAATATATAAATAAAATATATATATATATATATATCTG